GTGTGTGTAAAATACAGTGAGGTGTGAAAAGTAAATGTAGCTTTAAGTTATTGCAGCTTCCAAATAAGTTACAAAACAGACGCCAGAACAGGAGACATGATGAACTTTAGTTTAACTCACTGTTCAATGATCCAGGAGCAAACATTCCTCAAATAAACAATCAGGCTTTTCCAAAAACAAAGTTCAGATGGTTTGGTATTAAATGACTTCATCAGACAATAAAAACTAAACACAACCAAAAACACAACGTGGCGTCTTCCACGCTCCACGCTCACCTCAGCACACCTGCCTTTAATCAAAGGTTCCAGGTCAGGTGGTGCATTAGAGTGACCCAAAAATAATAGGAAAATAGGACTTGCTAGAAATGGCTCTGACATAAAAGTTGCTCGATGATGTTGATGTCCTTCCTGCACATGTAGAGGCAGCAACAAATGTTTGCATTGTGTATTTCTGCAAACCACAGATCCATTTGTTCATTTCATACGTGTTGTATCAGTGTTTCTAACATGACGTAGTATCTGAGCTGACCGTCATCTGCAGGTGGAGGGGATGGTGGGTGGTGTGACATCTTCACTGACACCTGAGACATCACTGTGTTTCCAGTGGAGACTGTGACACCAAAACTGAGTATTTTTAAGCTAAAACATCTTTTCCAAACCGTAACTAGGTGTTTTTGTGCCTAAACATAACCACACATTAACAGTGTAAAATTAGGTCGGAGTTACTCTCTGATGTTAACCAGTGTCAGTGACTCAGTTGAAATTCACTTTACTGAACTTACTGGACAGCATCATTGTGAAGGCGTAGCACACCCCCCCCCCCGGTTCCTCTGTGGTTAACACCATTAGCTCTGTCAGCACTGTGTGCAGACAACTCCGACCCTCTGAGTGTCCCACAGAGCTCCTTTAACTGTCTTAAAAAAGAAACGGGTAAAATGTAAGAAGAGCAGGGCTGTTGGGACATGTTGGATATTCAGGTGCTGCAGGTCAGACATACTGAGAGAAATGAAACTAAACTAAAAAGTTCTGCGCTCTGCCCTCTGACTCCTCCCCTACATGTTCACCAAAGACATTTCTCCATTATCTGGTATTTCAGCTTCTCCTGTTGGGCTTAAACTAAACATGAGAAAAACTATATTAACGTTTCACTTGTTAAAACTAGACAGAACGGAATACATTAACATTAGAACATTAACACTATGAGGCCAATAAACTGTCAGTTAAAGCTCCAGTGTCTCAGATTTAACGTGTATATAATCTAATCAGTCTGTTTGCTTTAGTGTTTAATCACCAGGGAGGCACAATATTGGATCTTTGGCCGATATATAACAACTTATTTGGCCGATAACTGATATCGATATATCCATTATTTTCCCTCCTAATGTCAGTGATCATCATCAAGTCTCTTCTGTAGATGAATTAACATCATGTTATACACGTATACTCTCAAGGTGACGGAGACATGAAACACTGTTCAGTGTCTGTAATATTCATTCATTCATTCATTCATTGTGCAGGATAAGAAAAAAACATCCTCAGAGTGTTTCCTCAGAGTGTTTCCTCAGTGTTTCCTCAGTGTTTCCTCAG